CTACTAGTAGTTATTAGTTAGTACTTACGTTACGTACTAGTATAAGTTAGTAGTATTGTATATATATATATATATATATATATATATATATATATTATATTATATATGATAGGCTGATACTGCTCGGATGCAGTACTCCACATCTCGTTTCTTGAAATGCACACATGTTAGACTGTTATGTGACATTGTATGTAATAACTCATTACAACATCAAGAAATCCTGAGGCTTAGCTGGGATGCCATATACATTTTGGGAAATTATACCAATATCCAATGGACTAAGGAAGAACCATAATCCACTGGCTCATCATCATCCTGTGAATGCTAGAGTGTGGGAACCATCTTTAGGGTCATTTCCTATTCTGGTGGGTCGAACCCAACCAGTCAAGTATTTCAAAGGGTGGTGATGACCCAATGGACTCTGGTTTTTCCTTAGTCCATAGGATTGTGGTCTTCTTATCCTTATATTTCTAGCGTCACATAATTTTCTCATGACAGATGTCATATATACCATTAGCAATGAAGCCTCTCTCTCTCTCTCTCTCTCTTTCCTCCCGCCGTTCCTCTTCTTCTCTTCTCTCCCTCTCCCATGTGGCTTCTCTCTCTCTCTCCCCGTCTGACTTTGAGACACATACCAACCCTGTTGTTTATTGATTCCTTTTAGTTGACAGATTTTACAGAATCTTGAATTCTCAGCTAGGTTTTATTTTTTCTAAAATAAAAATTGAATATGCAGGCTTATATATGGCGGTAAACAGATGAATGATGATAAAACAGCAAAGGAATACAACATTGAAGGAGGCTCTGTTCTCCACCTTGTTCTCGCTCTTCGTGGGGGCCGCGGAAGGAAGTACATAGTATGTGAGTAATTGGGTCGTCCATTTTTTGGCTTTTAATTGGGAAATACAGGGACAAGTCAGTGATGGGATTGCCTTCTGATAACTCTTTTTACGTTTGCTATTTGTACTAATACATTTTCTTGGGACTCCCTTCTGCTTTATGGAGTTTTTGCAAGTTAATATGGTCAGTTCTGCTAGGTTGTGTATACATTTGTAGGTAGTGGTATATGCTAGATGGTACGCCAAAGGTGCATCCCCCTAATCCATTATTAATGATGTATGGTGGAGATAAACTGTAATCCCTTTGGTGGGCTTACCATATGCACCATAAGAATAGGGTATTCTTGTATTTTTTTACCCTTTTGATTCGGTAGTTTTTGTTTTTTGGGTGGGATTGTACACAATGAGAGCATTAACTTTTACATACAAAGGTCACAAACACCTCAAGCAGTCCGACATGAAATCGGATGGTTGGGGTGAATCATTTATCTGCACGATGTCGGTGTAAAATTGTCTTGGGATTTTGACTTTGATCTATGGTGAAACTTTGTCCTCCCAATTTCATATTTGTCAATTAGGGGTGATTGTGACCTTTTTGCACTAAAAGTAGGTGGTCGGATTGTATACAATGGCCATGGACTAATGGGTTATTATGTTTGATGTTTGGTGTTGGCAAAATATGATAGAACCTGTCATACTTTTTCGTTTGTAGGAGACTAGGCCTCATTTTCAGTTTGGGTTGGGGTGGGGGAAATTCATTTACTGTGAATTCTCGGAAATTATAAACTCGTTCTTGTTTAGTTCTTCGAGAACTGTTACAAATCCAACCACTTCCTTTCTCTCTTCTCTGTCACCCCATTGTCACCCCATTCTGGGTTGGGGAGGGGAAATTCATGTACCATGAATGAACCTATGAAATTATTTAATTACTCTCCTCCTGTCGGATGGTGCAGTTAGAACCAGTGTTCTATCATTGGGCCAACTCGGAATCCCCAACCGGCTCAATTCGGATCCTAGTGAATCTCGAATGAGAGACTAGGGACTCACTCGAGTTTGATACTATTTTGACATTGTGATTGTTAAATTTTTGTTCAGACTCGACCGAATCAATGCCTTAAACGAGTAACTTGAGTCCTTGTTTTTAATCATTTGTTAGAATTCAAACCTCTATTTGTTGTGTTTTCTAGGTCACTGGTTAGAACCCGAATCTCTCACTCACCCATTTTGGGTTTGGGAGGGGGAAGTGAAGTTGTTTTGCATGAGTCCATGAAATTATTGAATCATTCTTCAGTCCTTTGGAAACTATTAGAACTTTGTTAGTGATTGTAACATCAATATTTTCTTGGCTTTCATGTGGCTGATATGGTGCGGTGTGGGCATGCCTCAATCTCAGGCGTTTGATGTGGTGTGATTCGTCGGGATTTGTGTGGGCCGGCCGGTATAACCTAGACATGTGTCCACTTCTAGACCCTTAAAGTGGTGCAATGAAATAAGTTCAATATAAAGGCTCTAGGGTTTGGACCTAAGGCCCATTGTGTTTATGTAAGAGATGATCCCTTATTTAAGTTTAAATTTGAAGAAAATCAGTAAAGGATTGTGGCTCGCTGTATTCGATTTTCATATTGAGGTACTGAATACTTTCAAAACTTAGTCTCAGACACTCGTGTTGGTATCCATATAGATGGGGTGACACGACGAGCTTGCCCTAATAGCACTTAATGGCTAGCATCGTATAATTTTTCCTTCATTACATCATCTTAAACCCTGTGGTGCGCGTCTAATTTTAATAAGAAATTATCCAATGCAACGGTTGTATCATAGTATAATGCAACTGACACTTCTAGAAAATTATGTTTGTGGTATTTGTATGATCTCAAATTTTGCACACATATTTTGTAGATCTAAACATCTCACCAAAATGAACGGCTTATATTAATTGGTTTTAAAAAATATTTTTTAGGTTGTGTTTTCAAATTTTTTTATTTATTTGGTGATTGGTCATTAGAATGAAAAAAAAATATATATTTCAAAATTTGGAGCAAACAAATGGCTATGATATGGTTTTTTAAGGTTGTTGCATCATATTCCTATACAACGGTTGGATGAAATCATTGTCCAATTTTAATTTTGCAAAATATTGGTATCTCTTGCATATATAGAAAAAGTGTGTACAGAGTTGAGGCTTAAACAATCAAAGTAGAGCACACCTTCAAATAATGTCGAGAAATGTGGTTTCAATTAATGGAAATCTTTGTGATAGCTTCAAAATCACTAGAAAAGTTATCACATGGGTGTGAGATTGATTTTTTTAGAGATCTGTGTCAAATTTAATGGTGATTTTTAAAGTCCTACACACATGGGTAGGGGAGGTTCATATAGGATCATTACTCATATATATATAGATAGAGGATTCTGTAAGACCTTCTCCCACTCATATGTGTAGGATTTTGAAGGATCACCATTAAATTTGACACAAATCTTTAAAAAAGCTATCACATGGGTGTGGGACTTGACTTTTCTAGAGATCTGCACTATCTTTAATATTGATCTTTTGGAGGTCCTACACACATAAATAGAAGAGAATCCTATAGGATCATTTCTCTCACTATATATATATATATATATATATATATATATATATA